GATACACCTAACAACTTAGGTGAATCCTAAAGGCATTATGCTGAGTGAAAGATGCCACTCTCAAATGGTTGCATAATATATGACTCCATTTTGAAGACATTTTTGAAATGTAAAACTATAGTGGTGGAGAACAGATCACTGTTTGACAGAAGTTATGGGTGGGAGGAGGGTATAACCATATCTGGGTAGTTTAAGGGACTTTTTTGGGGGTGAAGAAACTGTTCTGCATTCTGATTTTTGTTGGTGTTTACATAAATATGTGTGCTGTAAAATTCACAAACCACACCAAAAAATTAATTTTACAGTATAATAATTAAAGGATTGATGGTGTCATTCATTTCTCAAAAACATTTAGGCTTTCTAGGATTTATAGTGAAGGAGAACTGTTTGAAGGAAGCACCAACACACCATCTCACAGTATATAAATGGAAAAGTGATCTTTCTCAGAGACCAAGGAAGTTTTGTGTCTTATTTCTGCTAATATGTTCTTAGAGTTTTAATTCCAGTAAGGCTTAGCCAGAGAGTATGCAGATTGAGGTTTTTTTTTTTTTTTTGTCTTTTTTCTTTTTCTGTGTCCGGCAACGGATCGCAACCCTCAGTGTTGCCCCCGTACCGGACCAGGGACCGGCAACGGGATCGCAAGCCTTGGTGCTGCTCCTGCGCCTCGCTCAGCCAGTGAGTGGGAGCCGGTCCGTATGTGGGATCCGAACCCTCGGACGGGAGCGCCGCCGCGCTTCCCAAGTGGCGCACTATCCAGTGCGCCACCGGGCCGGCCCCAGATTGAGGTTTTAATTGTCATACTCCCAGCTAATGAGTGCATTAGATTGTCTAACTAAAACAGGTGCATGTGGATGTTGGCTCCCATCAGGTACAGGACTGCCAGTTAGAGAAAGAGACTACCACAACAAACACGAAACAGAAACTCCTTCCCACAGTAACCAATCTCCACACTATGTGGCTTCCTCTGTCCCTATGATAATGCAGCTCTTACCCTGTGCAGATGATTTCTAAACTGGCGAAGAAAAATCAATTGATTAATTTTTCCATTTACGGTAAGGCCTAACAATATCTCTGATGTAACTCTTCTCAAAATCTCATATTGGAGAAACAGACCTTCTTAAAAGATGAATGGGAAAAAATTGTCTGAGGGAGTTATTGGAATTCAGTCTTCTCACTTGGCACTGTCTCTCTTATCAAACTCGTTATTCAAGATCTTCCACTTGTCATCTGTTTGGTGGTGACTCCCATATTTCAGATCTCTTTGCTCAATTCTGGACCCATATATTGCAGCAGACATATAAAAATATTTGGTTCCAAAACTGTACATTAATTCTTTTATCTTCTACCATATCTGGGTCTTCCCCCACTATTTTCGTCTCATCATTGTTTCATTTATTTTATTTTTCCCAGCTTTATTGAAGTTGGCCTTCCTTTTCTATACTGTATTTCTATTAATAGGTATCATACAACTGTTTAAGACAGGAACTAAGGAGCCACCTATAGCTCCTTGCTTACTTCTTAGTTGACTCTGGTCCTATGGATTTTAACTTCTCAGTATGTCTCAGAGCTGCTTATTCTTCATTCTCATTGACATTGATAACAACCATCGTATATCACATATATTTTGCAATAGCCACAAAACTGGTTTCTCTGGCCCTGTTTAAATCCATTCTCCACACTGCAGCCAGAATAATATTTCTTTAATGCAAATCTCAATTTGTCACTCCTTAAACTCTTCAGTCTTGTTTATCTGGGATAGTGCTTAGCACATTGGTATTTATTTGTCGAGTTATTGAGAGTGTGTCCGTGGTTGCAACACGGAGGGGTAGGATCAACCCCCCTCTCCTCAAATTGTTCAGATGTCAAAACGGATGGTGTCACACATGTACCAAGAGAGTTTGAAATGATTTTTAATTCACATAATGAAACTTTATGGGAAGAGCAGGGGAGGCAGCCAAGCTGGTCCAGAATGGTTTGCCTGAAGGGAGGGGCAGATGGCTCTGGTTTTTATTGTGGTTAGGAGATGGGCCAGGTTGAAGGTTCCCACATGCAGGCTGGGTTTGTGTGATTTGACCCTCCCTGTTTGTGCCACAGGAGACAGACTTTACCCAACCTGGAGTTTTACTTATTATAATAGCCCTATGTCCTTATTACACAAAAATTAAAAGGAATATAAAGAATGTAAGCACATATTATCTCACATTCTTTAAGGCTAGGCTGTTTTTTTTAAACCTTTCATTATAAAAGGTACAGAAAACCACATAAAACAAATGTAGAGTTTAGTTATCAGAAGTTTGGCATCTTTCTGGCAATGGTGACAGTGTTATTTTTGCTGATTCAGTGCCTCTCATCAAGCCCTGCTCTGGACTTAGAATATGAGGTTTTATTGTCTTTGATTTTTTGCTGTGGCTCTATTTGTCAGATCTGGTCGGGGGCACCCAATACCATCTTGTTTCACACATACTCAGACATACATACATGAACAGCCAAATATTTTTATAGATGGTAGGATTTTTTTTTTCTTTGGTAAAATTACATATCTGAATGCTTATTGCAGGAAATGAGAAAACACAGATACTTTAAACAAAAAAGAAAGAAAAAAACATAATTCTAAAATAGAGTTAATCTGTGGTTTGGTTTTCATCCTGACTTTTTTCTATGCATATTATATGATGTTTTTTATCATAAAATGGATAATTCTGTAATACTGCTTTAGAGACCTGCTTTTTTTTCCAGTTAACGTCTAGTCCTTTTCAGTGGAAGAAGTATATTTTTCTTTTAAGATGAAATACATCTTGTGTTCTTAACTGATACTTCCCATTCAAATTCAGGTACATAGAGTTTTTACTTAATTTCATTGTTCTTACATCTTTATCTCCTTTTTTCCTAAGGTGAGAATCCACTTTCAACAAACATCAATATGATAACTTACTTCATTTAGACTTATATATACACAGTCATTTCAGAATAGCAATTTCAGTACCACCACCCATATTATAATTACCAAAAACAGCTTGAAGATTTTTTTTTCCTGCCCACTTGAAATAATTTCTCCCTATGGGTGTTATGCCATCAACCTGATACATAGTTAGATCAATTTATTTCATTTTGCTTTGGATTTATAGGAATTTACTGAAGCATTATTTTTAAGAGCAACTGACTGGAAATATCTCTTTTTTTCTCCCAGTTACCACCTGTTTTATGTCTATAAGTATATTTTTATCTTTTAAAGAACAACAGAGTATTCTGTTGTATAATTGTACCATACTTTGAGTTTAGTCATATTTCAATTGTTAGGCATTTAGGATGTGTCTACTTTTTGCCATTCTGAACAATGCTATATGACCATAATTACACATACATTTTGTCCATTTGTCTGATTATTTCTAAGGGATAATTATTAGGATTGAAAAATTTGCCTTTTTCAAAAAGGCTTTAGCAAATTTTAGTAAATTGGCCTCCAGAAAGTGTGTGACTCCAATCCTGTCGGCAGTATAATTGAGTGTCAGATTCTTCTCATTTATTGATACTAATCAACATTGGTATTAGCATTCTTTCCTATATCGTATTTATTGCCCACTTATTTTATATATGTAAATTCTTACTATATTCTTTGCCAGTTTTTTTATATTCATCTTTTGTTATCGTGTTCATATTTTTTCTTGATTTTTAGGATATAATAAGGGTAGCAGAAATTTTCATGATGAAAAGAGATTCTAAGAAATACCTCTTTCATGTACCAAGGTTAAATAATTATCCAGAGATTTTTAACAATTAATTAATTTTTGTATTAAAACATATCTGTGGGGTACAGTGTTGAATATCAATACTTGTGTGCAATATGTGATGATCAAATCAGGACAGAGATTTTTTTTTTTAATAATAATTATTCCAATTACTTTTAATCCCCAGAGAGCCTAACAACACAAAATTGGAAATATTTGGATGGAATACCTGACATAGGAAACAGTTCCAATTTTATTCATAATATCCATAATAAAGTAGATACTCCCCTTCTATGAGAGTTTTTCATGGCCATAATCTCTTAGTCATTTTAAAATTTGTGGACTTGTGATCTTTTTACTTGTGTATACTAAGGAAAGGTCTTACAATGGATCAGTTCTTGGCTTGGAAGGATCCCAGTGGGCTATATGTCAAATTGAATTCATTACCTTAAACTTAGTTTTTGTTTATTCAGTTCTTTAGGCTTCAGAACAAGAGTCTTTGAAAATAAAACACTCCTTTTCTAAAGAGAGATGATAGCTAGTAAGGTTGCTAATAGAACCCAGCAGGGGCTGTTTATACCAGATTGAGTATTCTAGTTCTGCCATAGAAAAAGAACAATTGAATCAAGCCAAGGAGGTAGTGGGTGCTAAGGGTAGTGGGAGGTGGGTTTGGCACAAGAAAGGAAATGGAATAATCACATTGTTAGAGGATTATTTCATTATTTTTATACAAGTGGTTCAATTCCTAGAAATAAGAAAATACAACACACCAAATATGAAGAAATTTTGCACAGTTCTTCACTATTTCTGATTACTCATGTTGTCAGGGAAGTTGTTAGAAGCATGGACTCAGGAGCTAGACCTCCTATGTTTGGATCCTGTTTGGGCCAAGTAATTAGGCTCCCTCTGCATTAGTTTGATCATATGTAATATAGAGATCATATTAGTCACTAACTCATAGGGTTAGTTTGAAGATTAATTGAATGAATTAACATTTGTAGAGTACTTAGAAAAATATCTGGCACATTAGTGAGCACTGTTTAAGTCTCTTTAAAATGAAAATAAAAACTAGGAGAGAGGAAGACTAGGGGAGGATGTTACAAATAGCTTAGTTAAATAAACTAGTTGAATCTATTTTTAAAATTTTTACAATCTGTTTTATTCTTATAGTGCAAACATTGAGTAAACCCAGTTATCATATGATAGTTTCAAAACTAATGGTTATATGCATCATTTGAGCCAGGTAATAGACTTTTTTACTGCTTTTCTTTACAGGATATTCTGAATAATCTTGAATCATGTGACCTCGAGGATGATGACCTTATGCTTGATGTGGATCTGCCTGAGGATGCACCTCTTGAAAATGGTAAGTTGGGACAATATTGAACCTCCAGAAACATGTACTTGAGTTACTTGACTATTACCAATTTGATATTTGTTAACTTGCAGACTTTTTAATCTCAGTGGAGCTTTCAGACCAAGAATCAATCTTAAGTGATATAAAGCAGGAGTGCTCCCGCCGCAGGTTCGGATCCTATATAGGGATGACCGGTGCGCTCACAGCGCTCACCGGCTGAGCGTGGTGTGGCCGGTCTCAAAAAGGACAAAAAAAAAAAAATAGGTTTAAAACCTGTTTTAAACCTGACTTTGTAGGTTTGACGTAAAATTCTTTATGACCCTATAACATTGTGTACCTACACCATAAAGTAAGTGGAAGATGGAATTTTACTTTTTTTCTATGTACATGCTCAATTTTTCCTTCCCTTGTCTCGTTTTGATTTAAAGAAGAAATATGAGAGTACTTCAAGAAATTCATGGAAAGGTTTGTATTATCTTTTAATCTTCTTTTTCCATGAACTTTTTGAAGCACCTTGACTTCTGAAATAGTATAATATATTAATTTGACAGTTTTTTTTTTTTGTCTTTTTCGTGACCGGTAAGGGGATCGCAACCCTTTGTGTGGTGTCGCCCGCACTGTGCTCAGCCAGTGAGCGCACCGGCCATTCCTATTAGGATCTGAATCTGCGGCGGGAGTGACGCTGTGCTCCCAGTTCTGCACTCTCCCGAGTGCGCCACGGGGCCAGCCCTTTAACAGGTATTTTTAAAAGACCAATTCTGGGAAGGTGCTGACCTTCTGAATGAATCATTCTGCCCTTTTTACTCCCAATTCCAGTCCATCTTCCTCTCTGGATCCCAGTAACTGCTGAGGTGGTGCTTTAGGTAATCCATGTGCAAGAGAGACCTTGGGTTCTCTTGTCCACAGTGACATAGAATTTGTAGGGTTTTCTGTTGTAAGGACTGGTGGAGAAACAGTTGAAATGGAGATCCTCCTGGGAAGAGAAATGGCTCTAGAGATCTGATGATTCCCTGTCAGTCAACATTTGCTTGGTCTCTGAGGTCTCCTGTGGACCAGGGATAAACTAAAAAGGGTGAGTGGAATCCCTCACCAGAACTTCCATGGTGCAAGGATATTTCAGAGAGGGGAAGTCTTCGTCCTAGTCCTTCATTGAGGTATTAGGAGCCTGCTTGCTGCTTTACCACAAGCTTATATTTGTCATATTGGTCAGACATTTTCTTTTCCTGCCAGAATGCTATGTAACAGTCATTCTCAGAATCACAGTGGCTTTCAAAATAAACATTTATTTTTCTTATTCATGGATCTGTGGATTAACTGGGACAGCTCAGACTGTGGGACTGGGTTCAGGTCTACTCCATGTTTTTTTCATTTTGAGACCAGGACTATTTGGGGCAGGTTGTTTTCATGTCAGGTGGCAGAAGTGCAACAGAATGAGCAGAAACATGCATATTATGTCTCTTAAAGGGGCAGGTTGTTTTCATGTCAGGTGGCAGAAGTGCAACAGAATGAACAGAAACATGCATATTATGTCTCTTAAAGTGTTGCTTTAGAACCAGCACACTGTTACTTCTAACCACATTCTGTTGGCCAAAGCAGGTCACATGGCCAAGCCTAACACCACTGGGATGGGGAATAATATTCTGTTCATAGTGACAGAGGACATTAGATGTGTAATTCGATTAAAGGAGAGAATGAAGAACTGAGGACAGTATCTGCTATATCACAGGGGTAGAGAATGTTGCACCTTCTTGTGGTCCTGCTGTCACTTGGGGTACTCCAGCAACCAGAGCTGACTTCTGGTGTTGAGAAACAAAAATCTCAGCCAACACCCTGGAAGAACAGGGAAGGTAACAGAACTCCCAGGATTAGAGTATCTTAAGGAGTTAGTAATGAAATCACTTAGGGAGATACAATTGCAGTTATAAAACAGAATTTCCCAACAGAAAAACTCAGTAAATGACTGAAAGCATAGCTGCTGTTGAAATCTAAATTAGTGGACTGGAAGTTCAAGTGGAAAAATATTGTAGAACGCCGAGGAAAAACATAAACTATTGAAAATTATGGGGGAAAAAATAATGAGACTTGATGATCCAGGAAATGCAACATGAATTTTTAGAGCTGGTAGTAAGGAGTGAGGGATTTACCTCCTTGGGATAAATCACATCCTAGATAATGGATTTTACAACAGGAAGTAGAGATGGAATCAGTATTAGAGCCTGCCTTATCTTTAATGCACAGTAAAAGTTATCCACATATTAAAGTAGAATCACAAGGAAATTTGAAGTCTTTGAAGTCTTGATTGGGGACTTGTGAAAAGCAGGAGGGAACTCCTGGGAACATCCTATATATATTATAAGTTTTTTCTAGGAGAAAGCAAGCAACTATTTTAAGTTAACAGAACACTAAAGAAAGCAGAACACGGATCTAAAAGTTGTAGCCTTTGGAGGCACCAAAGGTAAAATAGTATTTAGGTTTGGTACTACAGGAAAGTGGGGAATGATTATTCTTTTTGTAGCTCTGAGGTCCCAAGTGACTGTACCTACCCATTGTGTTTTTTGGTTGGGTGGATAGGAATGTTACAAAAACTGGTAGAGGTCTAAGGAGTTTTCTACTATGCTTTCAACTATTGGTTTTAGTTCTTTTTTAGCTTCTGGTTTTTGAGGATATTATGCAAGTTTGGGTAGAGATTTGGGTTGGTCACTCTGAACCTTAATAGTTTCAGCCCCACTAATTCTGCCAATATTAGTGGAATTTTTGCCCACAAGAAGACTTGCACCTCATTGAGATCTTCAATTTGGGTTTGATTTGGGTACAAGTTTGCTGTAACATCATTATGAATAGGAGAGTCTTCAGAGTTTTGAAGGAATGAACCATGAGGAGAGTATTTATCTGGCAGTTTCATTTGAACAGTAAATTTTTCCCTGTTAAGGTAACATTTGTAGTAGCACAGAGGAGGAAAGTATGCTGGTCAAATGTTTCTTGGACAGCTGTGGGCTGGGATTTGGGGACTGTCTGAGAGTTATTGGAGATATCCACACCTGCGTGTTTTGGTGACCCCAAGGATGAGTTTATGTAACATAACAGTAGTGGGGTTGATATTGTAGTGCTTGTATCAATAAAACTTTTACAAGTTTGTCTTTTAATTTGTAAAAAAAAAAGTATCTTTGAGTTTAATGGAAGTTGGGTGCTTGACTTCCCCCTCAGAACACTTTCATTAATCACTTACTTTATTTTTTATGCTTTGTGTCTTATCTGAGGCAGGACAGTTGTTTTCCCAGTGTCCTTTCTGTTTACAGTATCTGTAAGTGTATTAATAAGACTCCCTCCTGTAGTGTTTAATTGACTCGGGTAAAGATATCTAGCTGTTTTATGTGAAGGACATCATTTCTTTCTGAGCCTTATTCTGCTGTTTTTCTAAATCTCTTTCCAAATGTACAGGTATTCAAGTTCTGGCAATGAGGCAGTTTACCCTATTTCTGCCTTTAAAGACTTTCACAGAATGGAGAAAAAATGGGGTCACAAGTTTCAGAATATTCTGAATACTGTCTAATGGTGTTAGTCTGTCCCTGATATCTGAGTGGATTTTACCTTTCTTTGCTCACAGGACTGAATCAGAGCCTAATCTGTGTTCACAAGAGAGACTTTGTGGACATCCTCTGAAAGTCCTTTTCAAACCCCTTCTGTTTTCCTGTGCAATCAGTCATGGGCTCTTAAGTCACCTTTAGGTTCTTCACACTGTGCTTTTTCCATTTTATATTTTTGCATCTGGGTTTTCTCTAATGTATGAACTAGTTGGTATACATTAGGGAGCCCTGGATTATCAATTCCTAAAACATCTAGATTTCTGTGCAAATTTCTCTCAGTGTGTAGACCTTAGAATGTATGTGGCTATGGCTTTCAGCTCAGAATGAGACCAGATCTTAGAATTAACCTTAAGGAGTTTTCTCTGTTCTGAAGGAGGTTTAACTTTAAGAGGTATTGTGCTTTTGAGGTTTCTGGACAGTTTAAGGGGAAGAGGAACAGGTCTGAAGGAGAGATTGGGCAGAGGGAGAGATTGGGCAGAGGGAAGTCAAGGAGCATGGAATGGCGGAAGAGGAATAATAGGAGAAAGAACTTTAGGTTTCAGTTGTGATTTGGGAGGATGTTAGAGAGAATCATAATTTTCTTATATTTTTCTTTTACCTTGGTCAAGGAATTTCTTAGACACAATTTTGCAATCTGGATTTCTTTTGGCAGATTATCGGGTGTTTGACATTTGTTCCCTTTTTGTTCTAAGGTATCTCTCAAATGAATGATTTTGTTACATCTAAAGCACAGTTGTGTTGCTTTATCCTCTTGCTCAAGAACTTCTAATGCCTACTCATTGCCTACAGATTAAAGCCTGGCATTTGGTATATTTATGGTATAATCCTTGGGTCCATGAATTTCTATAACATATATCTTCTTTTTTTTTTTTTTGTCTTTTTCGTGACCAGTAAGGGGATCGCAACCCTTGGTGTGGTGTCGCCCGCACCTTGCTCAGCCAGTGACCGCACCAGCCAGTCCTATATAGGATCCGAACCTGCAGCGGGAGCACACTCTCCCGAGTGCGCCACGGGTCCGGCCCTATAACATATATCTTCTTTCTCATACTGTTACTCCTCTGTGGGGGAGGGAAAAGTGGCTTCCTCTACCTTCTTGAAAGAAAGTGAGCCAAGATGCCGGGTACCATTCAAGCTTTATTAAAGGAGAAGAATCTGCCAGGCTGTGCCCAAAGTGGGGGGCTGCCCTCAAAATGGAACACAGAACTAGATATGCAGGGTGTGAGAGCTTATATGGACTGATACAATCAAGGAGGGGCATTATGCTAATGCCGATCAGGGTGGATAACGGAGTCCTTGTGGAAGCAAAAGGGGTTTCTGTTTAAGTCAGGAGGCTTCTCGTAAAGGGAACAGGGGAAGGGCTTGGTGCTGGAGTGGAAGACAAGGCTAGTGGCTATTTTGTGCTTATTGTGTGCACAACGGCGGTGGTCATGCCCAAAATCCATCACTTCTAGATTCTTTGGCTGGGCCAAGTTAAATTGACATAATTAAATTAACATAAGGCAGATTAAAAGGAGAACAACAGTTATAATTTTGTATGTATGCATGGGAGCCTCACAAAATATGAGGCTCAAAGAAGGGTCAGATGATTGAAGCTCAGACAGCATCCCCAGCTACAAAAGGAAATAGGGCCTTGGGACTTCCTGGGGGTTTTGGTGACAGATATTATAGAAGGGTGAGGGGAAGGAATGCATGGTGAATAAAGGTTGTGTTGTTATGCAGATAAAATCTCTCTCAGGTAATGAAAATATCTGTGTCAGGAAAAGGAACATCCCTATTACTGAGACAGAGAGATTTACTCATGCACATTTCCTTTATAGATTTAAATTTCTTTTGCAAAAGGGCATCTTTTCAGAGCTACTCCTGTGTCTGCAGTTTCTCAGAATAACTAGCTCAGAATTTGCCAAAGAAGTATTTTTCGGTGGCATAGACTGGTCTCCTACCAGTCATATTTTGGGGTGGTGTGTACAGAGCCCTAACACCTCTATCCATTCTATTTTAAACTTTTCTGGGGCTGGCCAGTTAGCTCAGTGGGTTAGAGCATGTTGCTGATAACACCAGGGTCCAGGGTTTGATCCCTGTATCAGCCAGCTGCCAAAAAATAAAAATATAAAATAAATAAATAAACTTTTCACTGTTGAAAAAGAGAGAATCACTTTTGGATTCTAATCACTTTCAGATTCTCACACAAAGTTATGCCTTTAATTTATTTCACGTTAAATTTTCTAAGGCCACCTCTTTGCTAAACTTTTTTTTTTTCCTTTTTGTCTTTTTTCGTGACCGGCCACGGATCGCAACCCTCAGTGTCGCGCCCGTACCGGACCGGGACCGGCAACGGGATCGCAACCCTCGGTGTTGCACCCGCACCTCGCTCAGCCAGTGAGCAGCCGGTCCGCATGCGGGATCCGAACCCTTGGCGGGAGCGCCACCGCGCTCCCAAGCGGCGCACTGTAGCAGTGCGCCACCGGGCCGGCCCCTTTCTAAACTTTTTATTTAACATACAGTCATATGAGGTTAGTAATGTCCTTGACTGCTTTCCAATTACTGTATTTTCTTCTGGAAATTTATTTATTTCAGTACTAATTGTGTTCAATAATAAAACAGTGTATGCGTTTTTTTTTTGTTTGTTTGTTTTGTTTTTTAACATGAGCTTTTCTTCTTTTAAACCAAATTCTAGTTAAGCTTTCTTGATCTGATTGTACAGGCTCCTGCAAAGCACATTCTTCTCAGGCTTTGTGATGTGTAATTTCTCCCTGCTATCTTCATAGTGTTAAGTGAAAATTATAGGAGGCCAATTGTTTTGGACTAAGTTCCTGCACTAAGCCCCAAAAGACTAGACTAAAAATCAAAATGGAGTCACCCCTGCTAAGTTCCAGGTCACTTAGGTTGTGGTCTGACTTTCTGAGAAGCCCAGAGAAAGAGATAACAGCCAATTTCCCAAGCAGGCCAGTTTAAATCTTCAATAGATGTAATAATGAAGTTCCCTCTGCTTTAATCCTTACACAAGAGAGATAGCCTGAAGTAACCTGATGTTAACTAATTGGTTATTTTTCTATTGTCCTGTCTCCCTGTCCCTACCTTACAAGGAAATTAACTTTGAATTGACCAGTCCACTTTTTATTCTTTGTTTCTGCTTTCTTCAGCCTTTTTCTGTCTATAAAACCTTTGTTATTTGTAATAGACTTTGGAGCACTTCCTATGTGGGATGGTGTTTCCCAGTTGGCTCCTAATAAGCTTTACAAAATTATTTCTGCCTTGACAGCCTTAATTTTGGTTGACAATAGCCAATTGTTAGTCACATATGGAAATTCTACCCATGTCTTCCTCTACCTTCCTAGGGCTTTAAAGTTATAGGAGAAATAATCTAGGTTACTTTTGGTATCATATTTTGTTCCTTATCAAATCAGAAAAAATGAGTATAAGTTTAGTTGTAGGTATCCTCACATCATATACCTTTTAGTTAGTCTTGTTTGATCCTCTTTGCCTCCCTGGGGGATAAAAGTCCTGATACTGTTATCTCTCTGTCTCCTATTCAAAGTAAAAGAACTGAAATCTACTGCCTTTTACCTTTGGAGTTGGAGATCTCCTTCAAAATGCCTATGATTTTTCTCTAGCAGGGGTCCTCAACTCATAGTTAGGGCCAAATCTGCTTTGCATATAGTTTTGATCAGCACACTGGGTTAAGAATTTTTGAATTGGAATGACTTTAGGTTTGCCAGGACTATTTCTTTAGTTTGCCACAGGTACTATTTCTATGTTGTTACACATTGAGGGGCTTATTTTATTTCTTAGTCTTATTTGCCCTGTTCTTCATTTATAAGGCTCTGGAAGCTGGTTTTGATTTATCTCCATCTTGTAATCTTGTTTGCTTTTCATTTCCTTATTTTCTTCCATTCTGAACCCTCAATCTCTTCTAAGAAATCACCATTAATGTTACTTCTTAGCAACGTTTTAAAGTATAAACATGTGATTGATGGGTACCTCAGGTAAACGTATAAGCAGGACACTTCCTGAAGTCTTGGAACAGTCCTTTTTCTTAAAGCTTAGGCTCACTCTGTCTCAATTTGAACGTCAGTCTTTTGTGGTCATGACAGATGTTTGCTTATTTGCCATTGTCCCCATGGCCAAGTTTAAGATTCAGTAAAGATCCCTCTACTTGAAGTCTGTATGTGGTACCAACAGCTTTTAACAAACACAAAAGTAGTACATCAATTTCTGCAGTGTAATTGCCCACAATATTTAACCCATCTTCTGGCCTGTTTGCTTAGTTTGCTTGCTTATTGTTACTCTGTATACAGTGTGTTGATCTCTTTCTAAGAACATATCAGGTGGTTCTTTTGACAAAATTTCTTGCTTGGGAATGAGTGGAATTTCTCTTGCCTGAATTAAGGAGAAATATAAATTGAGAACATTTCAAAGTAGAATAAACTAAAGTAACATTTTAATGCCATGTAATTTTGGGACTTAACTGAATCCATGATTATAATGCAAATGTGAATTTATAAATGATGTTGCTAAAGGAACTAAACTAAAAGCAGTTTTAAACTTCCTTAAGATTATTTTTAAATTTCTTTTTCTTTTGCAATCTCATTTCTACTCCTAATCTTTTTTCACATCATGGTCACCATGCCTTTATCTATATGTCAGGTTTTCTATAACTGAACTTAAAAAAACATATATCTTGATTTATCCCAGTAAAATGACAAGAAATTGTTTGAAATGATTTCAAATGTAAGCCTTCTTTTAAAATTTTTTTCTTTAAAATAATTCTTTAAAAACTATAAAATGTATATCTTCCCCTTCCGTTGACTTCTGTAATGAATGTAAACAAAATTTTAGTGTCCTTTCAAAAACTTATTTAAATCATTATACATTAAGAGGAAGTACATTAAAATGAGTTCAGTGTATATGAGAATTGAACATCTATACTTTTATTTTAACTACATCATCCTTTTGTGGAATGAGGAAGTTTGTTTTTATCCAGCACACTGTAATAAAACACTGGCATATTTCAAATTCAAGTTTTTGGTTAAGTGAAACAGTAATTAAAGTGAATGAGATTTGTTTGTTTGTTTGTTTGTTTAAATTGGGAATTATGTTGATTTCTAAAGCTTTTTATCACAAGGAATTCTGAACTTGCAAGACTTGAACTTTCTCGTGAAGTAGTTCTTAGGCTAGAGAAACCTTTCCTGTTCTGTGGCTTGGGTTAGTGTTTAGCTGTATTTTTAGTAACAGTCCTAACTCAGTAGCTATGTAAGCACTGAGTGAAGATGGAGTCACAGGGCAAACTGGGCTTGCTTCCCACAGGGAGGGCTGGGAGTTGAGCAGGAAGGAAGGCCTGTTCGGCAGTGCCTTGTGTGCAACTATGTCTGAGTAGGCAGCCGATAACACAATGTCTCCCTTGTACAAAGTAACTCTCTTAGTGAGATCTCAGATATGTGAGGAAAAAGTGTTTGGGTAAGTGAAGAAGCCTGGGGTGTTTCAAAGAGATTCTTTTCGTGTTTTTGTGGTATTTGGATTTCAGGGAGTGTACTATTTGTTGCTGCAAAATACTGGCTTTGTTTTCAGTGGCATTTTAGACTTTCTGAACAAGCTCTACTGCAGACAGATTGAAGCATCTTACTTTCTAAAAATGTGAGCTTACTTTGAAAAATGTGGCTTGTTTGTGATAAAAAGTTAATTTGTGCTTTTTGAAATCAGTGAAAACTAATTGTGGCATTCATTTTTAGGAATGAGTTCTCTACTAGATTTAAAATGTAATTTTTCCTGTCATTTTCATTCTGAAATCAGAACCAACTTGTAATAGTGATGAAAACCATTTAAAACTGATAACTGGTATTTAAAATGTATAATGTTGATTTCAAGGAGAATTTGCTTGTTTTAAAACAGTGAGGTAGTTAATTGTTTGCATATGTGACTGTGTTATAAAAGTATTATAATTTACTTCAGTTTGAATAAAAAGATAAAATTCAGTTTTCACTGAAAGAACTGGTTATTCTCTGGAAATCTTGATTTTATGTTTAGTTAGCATAAACGACTGGTATTTTTAGAATATTCCTTTTATATTTTCAGCAGCATTTAATTATCAAGCTGTAGTTAACTTTTATAGAGTGTGTTCATGTTTATAGTCTTTTGCTTTTGAATCTATCTAGTGGAATGTGACAATATGAACCGCTTTGACCGACCAGACAGAAATGTTCGGCAGTCTCAGGAAGGATTTTGGAAAAGGCCGCCCCAGAGGTGGAGTGGACAGGAACACTACCACCTCAGCCATCCTGACCAGTATCATCACCATGGGAAAAGTGACTTGAGTAGGTGAGTACCATTCTAACTTAGGTTTCATTTTTTATCCTATGGTTTATTTTGAATCATAATTCTTCCGGCCCCAGCCCCCCTGCTGTA